TCCCCCACCTCCCCCACCTCCCCCAGGCCAGGAGCCACCAGTGAACGCGGGGGTTGGTGCCCCTTCGCTGTACGCGGGCAGCGGGATTGCCTGCAGTGGCTCGGCTGGAGGAAGGGCGAGGGCGAGGGCGAGGGCGAGGGAGGCTAAGAACAGAGCTGGAGCTCCCGGCGCTCCTGCCCGCCCCTTCGCCCCAAACCCCGCTGATCCCGAAGCGGGGGCACGGACACTCCAGACAGGGCCTAGGGTGACTCAGCTGCTGGGTGTTTTCCCGAAATGCGCGGTCGGTCCTCTGCGCTCAGAGGCTGGAGGAACGCCCTCACCAGGATGCGACGGGTTGGCCCTCAGGTGGGGACTTGAGCATCTAAGAACCAGCGCGACTTTCTTGGCCTTTGCTGCCCGCGCAGCCCCTTCTTCGGGGCTGCCGTCACGTCCCCAATTTCCTTCGCTCTTATTCCATTTCTCCAGAATAATAAGCTGAGTGGGTTTTGTTTTTCTAGATTATTTTTGTGGTTTTGCCAGGGTAAACCTCGATCCTTGGGCCTTTGGGGGACACACGCGCACGATTTTCTTTCTCTCTGCTGCCTCGCTTTGAGCAAAAGGCCTCTGGCCGCAAAGTTCACTCCGGGTGGGGCAGGCGCAGGGATGTGGCCTGGTCTCAATGAGGCCCTGGAGGGCGCGCCGGAGTTCCCCCCACCCCTGTCCGAGCGCCTTGCCCCAACCTCGGCTTGAGACGGGCCAGGAGTGAGGGGACTGAGCCCCGCTCCTGTGGGACCTGGTCTCCACTCCCTGCCTCCCCAGAGCGACGCGGCGCCCCCAGCGGGTGGGGGCGATGGCTGAGCGACGCGAGGGTGTTCAGAGCCTAACCTCCCTCCCCTCCAGACGCGTAAAGCTGGAGGCCGCCGTTTCCACGGTGGCTGCGCCTTGAGGGACGCGGCTCCCAGCACCGGGTCAGGAGGGCGGTGAGGCAGAGTCCGGGTGCGGATGCGTCTGGGTCAGGCAGGCGCCCCCTAGGGCCTAGGCGGCTGAGCTCAAGGGAAAGAGCCAGCGGAGGCTGGGAGGTCCAATGGGCTCCTCCCTCGCGATCCTCACCCAACATGAGGGCTCCCTTTGGCCTGAGGACGCGGCCCAGGCTCCGGAGACGGTGAGAGGGTGGGCGCCCAGCCTGGTCTCCGCCTCCGGAAGCACCG